AGTTGCAAACGCTGTCGGGCCCTCTCCTCCCTCCATCCTTATGACAAACCGAGGTCTAATTCCTCCAAACTACAGTTTGGATAATCAGTGAGTTTATTTGGGCTTACTTACAGGGAAGTGGGTGAGAGGTAACTTACAGGAGTGTGGGGCCTCCCACCAACAAGGCCCCACTGGTAATTCTCCGTATCCTGACTTCGCAGCAGCCATCCAGAATGGTGAGAGTCCCTCCCTACAGGTTTCTCCACTTAGGTGCCCTTAGTCCCTACCCCTTGTGAAACTCAGGTGACTGGTTGGTTGGGAGGTGTGGCTGACTCTCTCATGCCCTCCTTTCCTCCAGCGTATCAACAGTCAGGTTTGTTTGGAATGATCCTAATCAAGCAAGTCAACCACACTTGGGAAGAAGGCATGTCTGTTGACAGCTTGACATTCAGAGGAAAGTTTTATGCCATGCTCCACCCCTTCCTCTGGCTCTTACATTCTTTCTGTATCTTCTTCTGCAAAAGTCCCTGAGACTTGGAGGGAGTGACAGATATAGGACGACCCTCCCTCCACTGTGGTGAGATACTGAACTCTTGGGTCTTTTCATTATCTGTTTCCAAGACATGGCTGTTGGCTCATCTCAGTGGTATTTCTCCTACTATAAAAACACAAATGAAAAGAAGCGGGAACATCTAAATGAACACTGACTGCTATAATAACTTAATCAATGGGCATAAACATAAATGTTTGGAAGGATCCTGAGCAGGTGTATCGCGTCCATCTAACAAAACAACTGCAGTAGCTTCCCCACTGGGGCCTATAATTTCTCCTGCCATCAGAGGTTGGCCTGACTTACAGTACCAGATGTGTATTTCTCCCCAAGAAGCAGAACCTACACCCAATTGGAAATTTAAGTGTTGTACATATACTAGTTGAGCCACTATTGCACCAGCAGGCACATCTTGCTTAGCAAGTCAATAGCACAACGCATGGGGGTCCGTCATTAAGCAGAACTTTGGGGGACCATTCTCCCCCAGTGATTCTGCATAGCACTTCCTGGCACTATGAAGGCCAGCCATCCAGCAGTGGGGAGTTTTTTGATTCTCCTTTTCCCACACTCACATTATGCAGTGTCTTCAGCAATAGGGTCTTACCAGCTGCTTCTGGTGTGTAAAAAACATTAGTGGCAATAGCATTTATCATTTTGGGGGCTTTGAGGGGCTCCCTGACCAACAGCTCATAGTGGGGCAACCCACCCCGATACTGGAATTTTATTTAACAATTGTGAAATTTGGGGGAGCCTTTATTTTCCTTTTTCTTACTCTTTGACATCCATCGGCTCAGGCTGTTGTAGGTTTTTTTCTAACCGTCCTGGATATCACTTGTGCCTTACCCAACCATAAAGCCCACAAGAATTTCACAGCTATACCCAGCCCTTGTACCCTTTGTGAATTTATTTTTTATTCTTGTTTCTTCAGGTGTACTTGATATCTCTCAAGTGGGTTTCATATCTGTAAAACACATAGACATTAGCTTTATATACTAAATCAAACATAAACAAGCTCTAACACAGTATGGAAAGATTTTATCCATTTGTATCAACTGTTTTCTCAAAAGATCCACATTGGGTATAATACCATGGACAAGAGGCATTAATCTAGTTAGCTTTTTACTATTCTTAGTAATTTTGGGGGGTTATTTGGTATCCTGGAGTTTTTATATGGAGTCTCCCTGTATTTCTTTATCCTTGATAAACTCATTGGGGCTGGCTCAAGCTGCTTGGCCCTGCACAGGGCCAAGGAGGAATAGAGCCCCTCTTTCTCCTGCTGTACCTGTTGGTTCCCTGGGTCAGGTAGGCCCTGGGACTGACTCCCGGTTGCAGCCATACCTGTTGTCTCTCAACACACCTGGCTGCTGGGGGAGGCCCTGGTTGGGCAAACTGCCTCCACCCCTAGCATAACCTTTCTCAAGAGAGAAATGTACCCTGTTTAATCTTGAGGGGGGGGTCATTATTACCCCTGGGAAAGTTTTTTATCTTCTGTATGCCTTTTGTGAACCGTTCCCCTGGTTTTAAAGCCTTCTAGAAGCTCCCTAGCACAGAATTTGGCTTTTTGTCATTTCTTTCTTTAGGGACTTGGGCTGGACACATGCCACATTTGCTTTCTAATGAACCAAACAGACCTCTTTCTCTGCTTTGTTTTTTGTTTTTTGTTTTTTGTTTTTTGTTTTTCTATTTCTTTTAGGTTGCTTTACTATTTTACAGACATATTTTACATGCTGTTCTAAGTCACTTAGATCTGCCAAAGTCTCTCCTACTTCACAAAATCCTGCCTCACTAAAGGACTCAGCAAAGTCATTAAAGCTCCATACTAATCTTGACCTCTAGCCCCTGCTATCCATGGGAACCTCCACTGGTGATGACCAAGTATCTCTAGTGGCTTGCACAAGTCAGTCCATCAGAGACTGATTTCCCCTGTACTGCCTCAGGTCATGCAGCCTATGTCTCGAGGACAGATGGGTAGTTATATTGCTCAGCTTTGATGCTTCTGTAGCACTTAAACTAATATTTGCTCCCATGTCCCATATCCTTACAAGCCAGGTGGTGAGGGGTTCCTTCATTGCTTGTTTGAAAGTCTTCTCTAGTTCCAACAGCTCCAGTGTAGAATATTCTCTGATTGTTGTAGTCTCTTGCACCAGACCATTGTTAAGGCCTCCATCAGCATGCTGAAACATGGATTTTACCTTTCTTTGCATTAAAGGTCAAATCCGAAGGGCATCTTTAGCTATTTCTAGGTCTCTCCCTTCCTCATCACTTTCTACCTTCTCCCATGGGTTCCAGGTTTTGGAGTCCCAGGACAAGCCTTGTATTATCCAGCTAATTGGGTTTCTCATCCCTTTCTGGCCCCCTAGCAGTAACAAAACGTCAGGCCAACACCTCAATCTCTTTTTCTCTTTTATGCAATTTGCTGGCAGTGTCGGCAGCCAATACTGAAGAGGCCAGCCTCACATCCTTTTCTCGTTGCAATTCCTCTCTTGCACTGTCAGTCTCTCCAGGCTACCATCTCTGCCCGGGACAGATCTCTTATTATATAAAGCAGTGGCCAGGCGGCCTCTTCAGCTGCTTGCTGAAACGTCTGCCCATGGTGCACTACTCGCTGGACTTGCAAAGTTTGCTCCAGAACTTCTGCTGTCTTCAAAGTATCTTCATGCTTGTGTGGTAGACCCCATCACTCAAGCAGGTGTGCTACTCCATACTACCTACAAGAGGCTGTCATCCCAGGATTTCCCCCATGGATATCATCTGCCTAGGTGGCATCCGTTAGTTATCCATCTCACTATACACTGCACTATCCATGCCACTGCTACTACCCTACCAGGCCTATGGGGCTAGCCCACCATACAAAAATTTCCGCTGCCTACACTTCAGTAGTTGGTCTCCTTTCCCATATCAGAGACACCATTGCTCGTCCCAAATTCATCCTCAGTTTTGTTGTATCCTGCCATGCTATGCCAATTGTTTCTAAAATTTCTTCTGGGAGGCACAAACACCTTCTGGCCCTCTCCTCCCTCTGTCCTTATGACAAACTGAGGTCTAATTCCTCCAAATTACAATTTGAATAATCGTTGAACTTATTTGGGCTTACTTACACAGCAGTGGGTGAGGGGTTACTTACAGGAATGTGGGGGCTCCCCCCCCACAAGGCCACACTGGTAAGTCTCTATATCATGACTTTCCAGCAGCAGTCCAAAATGGCGAGAGCCCCTCCCTAAGGGCTTCCTCCACTTAGGTGCCCTTGGTCCTTCTTCCTTGTGCAACTCCAGTAACTGGTTGATTGGGAGGTGTGGCTGACTCTCTCAGACCCTCTTTTCTTGCAAAGCATCAACCATCAGGTTTGTTTGTAATGATCCTAAGCAAGTGGGTGCAACCAAGCTTGGGAGAAATGCATCTATTGATAACTTGACATTCAGATGACAGTTTTATCCTACACTGTGATAAAACATTGACCAGAAGCAACTTGGGAAAGGAAAGAGTTGGCTAACAGGTTACAGTCCATCAGGACTTAGAAGCAGAGGCCATGGAAGAATGCTGCTCACTGACTTGATCCCCTGACCCTTGCTCAACCTGCTTTCTTATACAACCCAGAACCACCTGCCTAAGGGTGACATCACCCACAGAGAAGTGGGTCTCCCCACATCACTCACAATCAAGAAAATGCCTCATGGACTGGAGAGATGGCTCAGTGGTTAAGAGCACTATCTGGTCTTGCAGAGAACCTGGGTTCAATTCCCAGCAACCATGTGGTGGCTAACAACCGTCTGTAACTACAGTTCCAGGGAAATTCAACACCCTCCTCTGACCTCTGCAGGCATGCATGCAGTATACTTATATACATAAAATAAAAATAATAAATAAAGGAACAGAAAGAACTTGGGCTGAGTGTGGTGACACACCAAAAAAAATAAATAAATAAAAATGAATTTAAAATGTGGGGACTTGGAAAGACGATTTAGTGGTTAAGAGCACTTGCTGCTCTTCTAGAGGACCTGAGTTCCCAGCACCCACACATCAGGATGATCATAACCACCTATAACTCCAGCTCAAGAGGATCCAACACCCTCTTCTGTATTCCACAGGTACATACATACAGAGAGAGAGAGAGAGAGAGAGAGAGAGAGAGAGCACACATACACATAAATATTTTTTCAAAAGCATTTGGGCCAGGCATGGTGGCGTACACCTTTAATCCCAGCACTCTGGAGACACAGGCAGGTAGACCTCTATGAGTTCAAGGCCAGCCTGGTCTAGAGAGTGAGTTTGAGGCCAGCTGAGTCACAACATAAGCATTTGACCATAGGAATTGAGAAAGAAATGTTAGAGTGAACAAGAGAAATAGTTGGAAAAGGGACTAACAGGTCTTAACAATTAGCATGCTAAAATAAATATTTTATATGAGGCTGGAAAACTCAACAAAGTGTATTGAAGGACACTGTTTGTTAAAATGATAAAGAATAATATTACTATACTTACCTGGCAGGGGAGATACCATTATCAAAGAGGTGGTTTTTCTGGGGCAAGGCTCACTCATTGCACTCTGGTGTGCTAACCCCTGCAATTTCCCCAAATGCAGGAAACTCAGCTGCATAATTTGTGGTAGTGGGGGACTTCTTTTGCACTCTCCCTTGTAAAAAAAGAAAAAAAGAAAAGAAGGAGGAGGAGGAAGAGGAGGAGGGGGAGGGGGAAGGGGAAGGGGAGGAGGAGGTTACAAAGGGCATCAACGTGATTAAAATGTTTATTGACATCTATCTACTGGAGGCACAGCTTGGCAGCAGCAGATATTATAAACTGAACTGAGTCCTTCATAGAAATGGGGTTATCAGACCTTCATTTAATAAAGACCAGAATGGGAGGGAACACGTAACCATGGAGAACAACATGAGCATCAATACTGTGATGAGTTCCAAGGTCGGAGAATTAAACAGGGAGACCCAACTTCCAAATATCTGTGGAAATAGTTCATAGAATAACAGTCATAGCAGTAAAATTGATGGCAAACTAGCCATGTACATACTTATAAATTAAATCTAAAGAAAGCAAAAAAAAACATCAAAAAGAAGCTGAGGGAAATACAAAATAGACTCACAATGAACTTAGTGTCAAGTTCCAGATATGAACCAGCTCTTTAGACCCCACATCCCTTGGGTTAAGGAGAAGTTGAAACACATCAGTTTTCCAAAATGGCCTTCTCAGGTACCTGGAAAGACCTTTGGCCATTTAGTTACATAGCTGAAAACTGTTAGTGTTGATACAGGAGGCCCAGAACTTTGGCAGAGCACTTCTATTGGCACTGACGCTTATGCAGTCCAGAAAATGAGGGGACCTCAGACTGGTTCACTCTGAATTCATAGGTCCATGGCTCACTAGTGGTCATTTCCTCAGTTCAAAATGGAAAGAGACACAGCTGGATTTTTTTGAGTTTCCATGTCTTTACTTTGGGCTGGGATATAACATTTAGAGTGAGTGCACTGATTTCTTGAAGTCCCTGTAACAATGTGCCACAGGCAGAGGGCTTGAAAACACAGCAAGTATTGTCTCACAGATCTGGAACCTACAAGTCTGGAATCAAAGTATCTCTGTGTTCATTACTTTTGAAATATGAGAGAAGAATCTGCTCCGGGCCATTCTCCTTGGCTTGTAGACATGTTTTCTCCTTTTCACTTCACATCTTCCTTATCATGTCTTTTCTCCAAACCTCCCTTTCTTATAAGGAAATTGGACATAGTGGATTATGGGGCCACCTTACTTGTAGCTGATTACATACAAAAAACAGCCCTCTTTCCAAATGAGGTCAAATTCTGAGGTACTAGAGGTTAGAACTTCAACATATAAATTTGGGGTGGTACAGTACATAACTGAACCTACAACAATAAAGAAAACCAGAAATCACCCCACTTCCTATACCACAATGCCCAGTCAAGATAGTAAATCAAGCTCCTGGTATGGTACAATTGTGATTTTAGGCTTCATAAGCCCTGCCCTGCTTCTCCTCAGGGTCCAGAGTTCTTTGGAGTGTTCTCCTCTCTAGTTGCTGGCTATTAAAGGATTCCATATTCCACCATCACTGTGTGGCTTTCCTCTGTGTCTCTTGTGCTATTGCAATAGTGGAAAATGAGAGTGAACTTCCACAAATTCAGCACATAAATAGCAGATTGCAGTTACCTCTGGTACAAGATGGGCAACTAGTGACCTGAAAAATGGGCTGTTTCCACCTCAGTCAAGGACTATGATTATCAAGTTTTCATTTTCCTGTAACAATAAAGAGTGTACTTTACCATTTGACTTCAAGACTCTGTCCATCCTCTCCTCTCTGCCAAGGGACTTTATGAACCTCTACACATCACATTATTCTACTATTAAAATGACATCTTGGAGCTGGAGAGATGGCTCAGTGGTTAAGAGCAGTGACTGTTCTTGTAGAGGACCTGGGTACAATTTCTTGCATTTACATGGTGAATGACAACAATTGGTAACTTCAGTTCCAGGGGATCCAACACCCTCATTTGCCTTCCACAGGCATTTTGTGTCACTGTTGCACTTACATTTATGCAGACAAAACACTCATGCACATAAAGTAATAAATAAATAAATAAATAAATAAATAAATAAATGTTTTATATAAAAACAAAATGATACCTTGTTACTCAGTTAGATGAGCAAGAAATGGAAATTAGGGAGGCTGGAGAGATGGCTCAGTGTTTTAGAGAGCTGGCTGCTCTTGCAGAAGACCTGGGTTAAGTTTCTAGGACCCACATGACAGCTAACATCCATCCACAACTCCAGTTCCAGGGGATCTGACACCCTCTTCTGATATCTATGGGCATTGCATGACATGAGTGCACTTACATACATGCAGACAATACATTCATACACATAAAATAAAAATGATAAATAAAATTTTAAAAAAGAAATAGAGCCGGGCATGGTGGTGCACACCTTTAATACCAGCACTCAGGAGGCAGAGGCAGGCAGATCTCTGTGAGTTCAAGGCCAGCCTGGTCTACATAGTGAGTTCCAGAACAGCTGGGGCTACAGGGAGCTCCTGTCTCAAAAAGACCAAAAAAAAAAGGAAAGAAATAAAAAGTAATATATTTTGAAGGATGGTTTATTGGATCTCCAAGCACTTAGAGTCCTCCACATTAGTGACGGCTGAAAGGACCAACAATGTGAAGTGTGTTAAAACCTACCCTCCAAAGTGAAGGATCAAAATTTATCCAGGACTTCATATCTCAAAGAAGAAAGTGCAAGATCTAGAAGACCTCTTCCAGCCCTGGACTGGTCTCATACAGCTTGGACCAAAATGCCAAGTAAGAAAAAACTGCTAGCCAGGCATGGTGGCACACACCTTTAGTCCTAAAACTTAGGAGGCAGAGGCAGATGGATTTCTGTGAGATCAAGACCAGCCTGATCTAAGCAGCAAGTTCTAGGCTAGAGGAAAGGGCTCTTCAATAGGTCCCGGCTATAGTGCCAGCAGCTGCACCACAGAGGATATGGGATTTAACAGATTTCTATATAACTAAGGTATCAAGCATGGGAAATAGCATTATGTAGAGTTTATGGCAAGGAAAAATTATGCTGGAATGAACTGGGCTAAAGAAAAGTTTTATGAATGAATGGTCCAATCTCATGTGAAGAACTATGTTGTAACTATTTGAAAGGAGGAAGAAAAGTCAGAGCCTGGCCTATAGATGTGTTGGCTTGATACACAGGTAAAGGCAAAATGGAGAACAGTCTCCACACATGGGTGACTATCCTAGTTCCATCGTTAGGTGTAAAAAGTGAAGTGTTTTAGGCCAGGAGTGGTGGCACAGGCCTTTAATTCCAGGACTCTGGATGCAGAGGCAGACAGATCTCTCTGAGTTCAAGGTCATCCTGGTCTACATAGTGAGTTCCAGGCCAACTGGAGCTACAGGGACACCCTGTTTCAAAAAAAAAAAATGTGCTACTGAATAATTTTACCTTTGTGACAATTCTATTTCTCTCTGTGAATTAGCAACTTGGCACTCTAACTTTATACATCATTTCTACAAAATTTGATTAATATGATCCTCTCACTGCCAAGATCCACCTTGAGAACTCAGAAATGAGATCTGAGAGTCTTAAAGGCAGAGGATCAGTTTCTGTGTGATAAAGAATTCATCAAGGCAGTATCTTTTGGAGACTTATCTAGAAAGCCAACCTTCTTTCTTCCCTGTATATGTTGCGTTTTGTACTATATACTGAGTGTATTTCCTATGACTCAGATTTACCAAGGTGTTGAGAAAACAAAGTAATTATATACTCACTGAACCGCTTATATAAAATTACCTTATATTTACTTTTACTCTAAAGATGACCTTTATATTAAGTTAAATATTTATTGAAGAACTTCTACATCTCCAGCTTCTGATAGACATTAGGGAACCCCAGAAAATATACTACATGCATCAAACAGCAGCATATCTGACTTCTGCAGCTGATTGATTGAGATTACACATACACAAAACAGGAAAGGGTGAAATATAAGGCAAAGTTAGGCACCCACTGGAACACTCAGTATTAGTTCTCTCATGCAGTATTACTGAGCACTTACCACATGTAAGGCAAACATGGTACTGAACATGTTGTAGTTGTACAAAGTCTGTTGAATAAAGGTATTTTTAAAACTGGTAGTAGCTACCATTTCTTTGCTAGTGATTGTGACTGGGCCTATGCCAAATGATTTCTTTTTTATTTAATACTTTTGTTTTATGAGTCTGAGTGTTTTGCCTGCATCATTTAAGCTCATCGCTTGTGTGCAATGCCCGCCAAGGCCAGAAGAGGGTGTTGGATTCCCTGGAACTGGAGTTACAGACAGCTATTAGCTGGGAACCAAAGGGTACTAGGAACCAAAGCAAGAGCAGCAAGTGCTCTTAATAGCTGAGTCATCTCTCCACCACCAATTTATGTTACTGTAAGCACTAAGCTCAGCACAATTTGTTGTAGCATCAGTAGAAAGCTAATACAGACAGGAACATAGAATGTTTAAGCAGTAAAGGTCCTACTCTCCATGACTGGGTCACAAAATCTGATGTGGGAACAGTTGTGGGACTGTTCCTCAGGGCATTCCAATACACACTCACCCTCAAACAAAAGTTTTTAGCAGGAAAGTGAAAGAGGAGGACTCAAAATTCCTGCTAGAAGTAGATCATGGAAATGTATACTTGAATCTAATCACTTGGGAGGCAGAAGCAGCAGAATAAGAGTGTGGAGCCATCCTGAGCTATACAGTCAATTTTCGAGAGAGAGAGAGAGAGAGAGAGAGAGAGAGAGAGAGAGAGAAAGCAAAAGCTGTTTCCTTATTCTCCTATCAACCAAAATTAATCATTGTAACTAAATACATTGGGAAAAGTCAAAATTTTACTCAAAAAATTATTCTCTACCAGGTATGTGGTGCACACCTTTAATCCAAATACTTGGGAAGCAAAGGCAGGTGAATTTTTGTAGGCATGCCTTTCATAAAATGGATACATACCTGGACTAATGACTTTTAATTAACCCCAGCAAAGCTATGTGCTCCTATGTCTTGTAACTTGGGCACCTGATCTTATTTCCTGGGAACCTCAATTTGGTACTCCACTCAAAAAGATAATTAAGGAACAAATTAATCAATGACTTAATGAGGTATGCTTGAAAATTAACATATCAAAGCGCTGAAAAGACAGCATACCCACCTCCATTGGGCACAATGAAGACTTTGAATGAATGAGAGATCCTAGAATTATGGATGAAAAGGCAAGATAGTCTGTTAAGATTAGAGTGAAATAAAACTTCCCCCGTTGAAGCTGAAGAAACCAGCTTTTATTTTTGAATAAAATTATGGGTGGGCCTGGACTCAAAGACAGAGTTCCAGAAACGGTTCCAGTAAACTGTTCTATCAGCACAGTTTCAGGAGACAAATGGTTCCAAGAGGTATCTAGGGTAACAAGTGTCTGAGTTTGGGCCCATTCTTAAAAACTAAATTTAAGAGTTAGGCTATTTGTTCAGGTAATTATAATGTTGAACTCTGTGAGTTCCATCCTGGTCTACATAGTGAGTTACACAGCAGCCAGGGCTACATAGTGAGATCCTATTTCAGAAAAAAAAAACAAACAAAAAAAAACAAACAAAAAAAAAAACACACTCACAAAGTATAATTTTATCAAGTAATTTAAAAAACACAATTTTATGAATAGGCTTTTACCTAAACAGATTAATTACTTCATCTACTATACATGAGTTGCTTTATGAGCCTTTCTGTGCATATATGAAGCTGTCATCTACTTATTTGTATTCATTTTATTTGATAATTAGCTATGAAAAACAAAACCCCTCTCCATACATGTCCCTCTAAACTCACCTGTGTTTGTTTCAAAATCCTTAAGAATCATCTCATCTTTTTTTTTTAATTAGATTTCTAACTCCTTGTACTCAATTATCAAATACCACTGAGTCTTAACATGTCTAAGAATCCTTCAGAGGAGGTGACTTCCTCCAACACACATAGCCTGCATCATGGAAATCACAAACAAGATAGAGTCTTCATTATCAAAAACCTGTATCCCCTGATACCTGATCAGAAATTTGTACATTTCTCTGTAGCTGTGCCTCACTCCATCTTGTTGTATATGCCCGCATCTCTCTCAAGAGGCCAGCACTTACACCAGGAACAAGGTCATGTCTATTTTTTTCAGTGGAATTCAATAATTACATGTTTATGCATGTGCGTGATTGACTCAACCTGAAAACAAGGATAAATAACAGAAAAACATTTTAGAAATCAAAGTTAAAAAATAGTAATATTGTTGGGGAGGGGTTGGCTGGGGAGATGGCTCAGCTGTTAAGAGTATCTGCTGCTCTTACAGAGGACCCAAGTTAGGTTCCCAGCATCCACATCAAGCAGTTTACAACTACTCTAACTCCAGCTCCAGGGGATCAGATAGCCTCTTCTGGCTTCCATGGGCATCCCCTCTACAATGACATGCAATCACACCAACACACATACATACACATAAATAAAATAAATCTGGGACTGGAGAGATGACTCAGTGGCTAAGAGCACTGGCTGTTCTTGCCGAGGACTCAAGGTTGGTTCCCAACACTCACATGATGGCTTACAACCCATCTGTAACTCCAGTTCTAGGGGATCTGATACCCTCTTCTGGCATCCTCAGGCATTGCATGATGTGGGTGCACTTACATGCAGGTAAGCACTCATACACATAAAATAAAAATAAATAAATAAAAATAAATCTTTAAAAAATTTCTAATATGGAGAAAGCACATTATACTGGGAGGATTAGACTAGATGTGGATGGAAGATGTGACAGGGTCAAGGCCATATGGCTAGCAACCATTTTAGAAGGCCATGTTCTCTAGCTGTCTCCTATGTAGATGGAGCCAAGTGAGGCCACATGCAGCCACATAACTAGTTATGACCCATGCAACATGAGCTAAAGGAATGCAGGCCAGGGTGGGCTTGGTGACAGAAACTCTTAATCCCAGCACATGGGAAGCAGAGGCAGGGGGAGCTCTGTGAGTTTGAGGTCAGCCTGGACTACATAGCTAGTTCCAGGCTAGCCAGAGTTACATAGCAAGGCTCTGTCTCAAACAAGAAAAAGAAAAAGAATGCAGGCCACTCCCAGCCTGCCTGCAGGTTTCCCTTTAGGCTCTTGGCTCACCCTCTTTTGCTCTTTTCTGACAACTCTGGGAGATCTCAGTTACAGAGATTGAGGTCATAAATGAAAAATATTTGGATATTTAAATGTCTGTATGATAGTTGCACACCGAAGTGAAGAAAATTGGAAAAAAGATTAAAGTCTGAATGTCCCCAAGAGCAATAGTACAGACATGGAGAATTTAAAAGTCAAAGGGTATAAAGGAATAGCAGTTTGGTTTGAATATACTATGTTGGTTGGTGAAGACAAATTAAACTAAACTACAAAGCAGAAAAATTACAGTTACTGTCTAGTTGGTTCTAAATTATTAAAAACTATCTCTGAATCCAAAATTTTTGGAAGTTGTATTCTGAATTTTATCTTTGGTCATCATTTTGCATTTTGTTTTTATTTTTCCTTTTTTTTTTTTTTTTTTTTTTTTTTGGTCTTTTTGAGACAGGGTCTCCGTCTAGCAGTCTAGCACCAGCTGTCCTGGGACTCAGTATTTAGACCAGGCTGGCCTTGAACTCACAGAGATCCACCTGCCTCTGCCTCCCCAAGTGCTGGGATTAAAGACGTGCACCACCACACCTGGTCATAAGGAATGTTTTCTGAATTTGTGTGTCATCCTTGCACACGGGCCATGCTAATCTTCTCTGTATCATTCCAATTTTAGTGTACATCCTACTGAAACAAGTACTGGTTTTTGCTTTTTGAGACAGGATCTCACTCCATAACCCTGGCTGGCCTGGAACTCACTATACAGACGGGACTGGCCTCAAACTCCCAGACATCCCACAGGCTCTGCCTCTTGAGTGCTAGGATTAAAGGCGTGTGTAATCATGCCTGGCTTTTACCTCATATTCTTGGTCACATACATTATTTTTATTCTGGAGAAATAATTCTTAGAATGAGATTTTTTTTTTAATTTTTTTATTTTGGTCTTTTTGAAACAGGGTCTCCCTGTAGCCCCAGCTGGCCTGGAACTCACTATGTAGAACAGGCTGGCCTTGAACTCACAGAGATCCCCCTGCCTCTGCCTCCCAGTGCTGGGACTAAAGGCATGCACCACCATGCCCGGCAGAATGAGATATTTTTAAAAATTATTATTGCTGGGCGTGGTGGCACACACCTTTAGTGCCAGCACTCAGGAGGCAGAGGCAGGTGGATCTTTATTTCAAGGCCAGCCTGTTCTACATAGTGAGTTCCAGGCCAGCTAGAGCTACAGGGAAACCCTGTCTCAAAAAGACCAAAAAATGAAAATAAAATAAATAAAAAACATTATTTTTTTCCTACTAACAAAAAATGAAATAATAACTCTACCATAATCATCAAATTGCTTAATATCACAGCATCCCTGGATGTCAATAATAAATAATAGTAAATAATTAATCATTGATATTTTTTTACTAAATACTAGCCAGGGTGTGGTGGAACATATCTATAACTCAGTAAGTGGGAAGTTGAGGAAGGAGGATTGCTGCATGCTCAAGGCTAGTCTGGGCAACATAGTAAATTCAAAGTCAGCCTGGGATGTATAGTGAAAACTTGTTTCACAAAAAGAAGACAGAGGCCTAAGAGACCGCTCAGCAGTTAACTGGCTGCTCTTGCAGAGGACCAGGGTTCAGTTTCCAGCACCCATGTGACAGCTAACAGCTGTCCCTAACTTCAGTTCCAGGGAATTCTACACCTTCTTCTGGCCTCCACAGGCATTGCAGACCATAGGCACCCTTACATACCTACAGACTGAACATTCATCCTCATAAAATATAAACAAATACAGACCAACTGGGGCTAAAAGGAGACCCTGTCTCAAAAAGACCATTAAAAAAATATATGTATATAAATCTTTTTAAAAGAAGATGAGGATAAAGAAAAGAAAGGAAGGAAAGAAGAGTTCAAGCGGAGGGAGGGAGGGAGGGAGGGAGGGCCAGGCATGGTGGCACTTGCTTTTAATCCCAGCACTCAGGAAGCAGAGGCAGGTGTATCTCTGTGAGTTTGAGACAAGCCTGGTTTCCATAGGGAGTTCCACGCCAGCCAGCACTACATTGTGAGACCCTGTCTCAAACAATAAAAACAAGCAGAGAGAGAGAGAGAGAGAGAGAGAGAGAGAGAGAGAGAGAGAAGCAAAGAAACAAAGGAAAGAGAAAATATTCATTTAGAGTGAAGACACCTAACATTGACCTCTGGTCTCCACACACATGAACATGTACACATCCTATGCAATACACATTCAGACAAATAATAATAGAATCTAGACTCTGGAATATTTTTGAGTCAGCTGCAAATGTACTTTTACCCAAACGTCACCAAAGCACTTATTAAGAGGACAAAGACAGAAAGAGGGTTTAAAAAAAAAACAAAAACAAAAAAAACTTAAATGAATTGTTTTGTGCTTGTGCTTGCTTATGTATGGTTTGTAAATGCCAGATAAATGACGAATGTTTGAAACTTGTTTTCTTAGAAATGTTCTTCAAATTTTGGGGAAAAAGATAGCTTCTAACCATCTCAAACTTTTCCACAGTTGCTACTATCTGCCAAAAAATGTGTGTGGCCAAACAGGTTAAGGTTCATTCAGAAGAGTGGTCACCTTGAATAAAATACTTGCTTGAAACAAAGTTGAAGTAATTAATTCCAGTTCCATAGATCCCAATAAGAGAAACCCAGTTTACTACTCCCAATGAATATTGATTCTAGATAGAAAACCAAAACTTGCTATTGTTTTAGTGTCTTTACTTGCCAATAAGTATATTATTTGTAATCAAAGTTCAGAATGAAATACTATGCTATTTCTGCCTTTTAAGAGCTAAATAAAAAAATAAAGACGCTTGAATTTACCCCTTCACTGCATCCTCATTTAAATTCTAGAATCCTGGTCATAAAAATGAGCTATGAACTTAATGGAGTAATGAACACTTGACCATGGGACCAAGAATTACATCTGCTGTAGGAAGAATGTTCAAAGGTAATAAAAAAAGAAATATAAACACTAGTTTTCCTCATTGCAATTCAATTATTAAAACTCCAAGGATGTTAAATCCAGTTTTAATCTTACAGTAGTATGCTCATCAAAAGATATTGTCTAAAGAAATGCATTGGAGCAGAACAAAGTCTCTCACTCTTTCTCACTGATGTGTGTGTATGTGTGTTTGCGTGTGTGTGTGTGAGAGAGAGAGAGAGAGAGAGAGAGAGAGAGAGAAAGAGAGAGAGAGAAGACATTGTTTATCAACTCTGACTACCTAAGAAGTTAACATTTTGCTTTAACTTTCATTAGCTGCCAACATGGCATACTATATAGCATAGACAGCCCATATCTTATGAGAAGTAGTAGGTAAGTGAAACCTCATAATGCACATAATACTCAGAGACCATCATATCCCTCTGGGGAGACAATTCTTACAAGGAAATTATCATGAAGCCAGGCATGGAGCATGCCTTTAATCCCAGCACTCTGGAGGCAGAGGCAGGCAGGTCTCTGTGAGATGGAGGCCAGCCTTCTCTACATAGTGAGTACTAGGCTGACTGAGGGCTAGGGAGACGCTGTTTAAAAACAAGAAGAAGAAAATCGTAATAGACTGAATATCCCTCATTTGAAAATCCTCCAACAAAAATGTTCTAACAACAGGCATGTTTTCAGTGCCAACATGCTATAACAAGTGGAAAGTTCCACATTTGGTTTCTTTCAGGAAAAAAAAAATTTATTATTTTTATTTTATTTGTATAAGTTTATTGCCTGCACATATGTAACTGCACCCATGTCGTGCAATGCCCACAGGGGTCAGAAAAGGGCATTGGATCCCGTGGAACTGGAGTTAGGAAAGTTTGTTAGCTGTCATGTGGGTGCTAGGAACCAAACCTGGATCCTCTGCAAGAGCAGCCAGTGCTCTTAACTGCTGAGCCATCTCTCCAGCTCCCATACCTAGTTTCTTGATAGGTCACAGTCAAAATGCGAGTACACTAAAAATGTTGCGTAAAATTAACTTCAGTCTATGTATAAGGGGTATATAAAACATAAGTGAATTCTGTGTTTAAACTTAGTTCCCATTCCCAAGATATCTCAAATGTACATCAAATATTCCCAAATTTGAAATCTGAAACCATCCCTAGTTCCAAGCATTTTGCATAAGGGCCTGTATCTTTCCTTGAGAACTCAGAAGAGTACTCCAAGAATATCCTTCGTATTTCTTGCTGCTTTCTGCCTAGTAAGTAGCCTTAGTGAATTGAAGGCCATTTATCCTTGGTTTGTAGCCTCTAGTTGACCTGAAGCTTGGATTTAAATACAGCTTGTATGCAACTTCAGGCAAGCAGCCAGAACCCAGGAAGCTGGGATGACGGCAGAACACCTCTCCCATGTTCTGCAAGCTTTGGCGCTGTTTCTTCAAGAGCATTGGTAACAAGCATTGCCCTGGGATACCGAGCTTAAGCATGTACACCATGGCAGCAGCTCCCAAAAGCTCTTCATCTTCTCTCTTTTTTTAAGTTTAAGAGAAATTTTACTGATTCAAGAATTTCACACAATGAATTTTGGTTATATTCAGACCTCCTCCCCCATCTCCACCCTCACCCTGCATCTCCCACCCCTACCCCTGACTTTGTGTCTTCTATTTGCATGTGAAAACCCCATTCATCATACACAATATGTCTGAGCTGGATGCCAAAGAAATCATATCTCATCAGAATGTGATCTGTATCAATGATCTATAATTCTTACACTCAGGTACACCAATGTAAGGGCCCACTCCCTTCCTTTGTACTTGGTTTTAGGTCAAGATATACCCAGGTTTCTTGGAATGGGATTTTCACTCCTAAATTCTTTTTCTCTTACACACTGTTAGGAATGTCAAGTGTGGATTTCTCTGTTTTTCAATGATTGGAAACACTTGGTTTTCTTCATCAAAGTTAGTTTTTCACCACCCTTGCATGCAGGTTACACTTTGGCTGTTCCCAATCTTCACCCAGCATAATGATCCCACTGTGCACCAAGGCATTCTCCAACAGGCTAATTCCCCTCAGGGTTTCACTGTGGGCAAAAGCAAAAGCTAAGCCCTCACAACAGGCAGCAATTAGCTCATAGACCTCAGAGCCAAGATTCTGTTAGTAGCAGTTGGATGTTTTGTAGCTTCACCTGACAGCTTTACACAAATGTCCTCTTGTTTATTTTCTGAAATCTATAGCCTTCTCAGATTCCTAATGTTGTCAAGGACTGTCGTCAGGTCTTGACAGCCACTGGATAATGATTATGGTCTTTATGGTCAGCTGACCATAGGTACCACGGGGGGAACATGGGTGGGCAGTCCAGCTCAGCTTCACCTCCCTGTTGCACATGGGTAGTCATGCTGGCTCAGCTCTGCTGATGTGTATGAGCAGCCAGACTGGTTGGCTCTGCCCTGCCTGTGCACATAGGTTGCCATGCTAACACAGGTCTGCAGGTGCATGTGGGTGGTCAGGCCAGAGGGGTTCCACCTGTGCATGTGGGTGACCAGACTGGCTTGGCCCTGCCCTACTGATGTGTAAGTGGCCGGACCAATTCCACCCTGCTGATGTCCAAGGCTTCTTGGTTTCCCAGTTATTATCCCTCTCACTTGCCAAGTTCTGAGTGATGAACTTTGAGATCAATATAAATGCATCAAGATTCTTAATGAGATGAAGAGGTCCAGAGTCATGTCTAGGTCCTTGTGCTAGGACTCCCCATTGCCACCA